AAAAAGCACAAAGTTATAGATTTAAACTCAAATATACCTATTATATTAAATGTGTAAACACGAAATGCGCTAGTTAAAAAACAAAAATGGTCACACTGGATTAAAAATATGTAACTACATGTTCTTTAGAAGTGGCACACCTAAAATATAAATATATTAAAAGTTCAAAGTAAAGGGATTAGGGAAGATCTATCTGGAAAATATTAACCGAAGTGTGGATATATTAATATCAGACAGAAATGACTTTAAGGCAGAAAATAATACTAGATATAAAGAAGATCACTTCATAACAATAAAACTTCTACAAACAAATATATTACAGTACTAATTTCGTATGTATAAATAGTATGGCCTAAAATATATAAAGCGAAAATAATAAAATTAAAGAAATAGATAAATGCAAGCCATAAAGGGACATTCCAGCACCTCAACTCAATAAGTGATACAGTACACAAAATATGAGTTTTGATACAGAAGATTCAAACAAAATGAACTTAAATTTATACATGTGTGTATACAGGTGGTCTCTGTCTTGTGATTTTTTTGACCTTATCATGGGTTTATCAGAATGTAACCAAATTGTAAGTCTGGGAGCTCCTTATAACTTATGATGGTGTTATGGTTTCTACTAAATGCATGCTGCTTTTCCATCATTATAAAATCAAAATATCATTAAGTCAAACCGTCACAAGTTGTAGATGCCTGCTATTTTGCCAGAATTAACAGCATTTTTGCCTTAAATATTTTCAACTTAAAATAAATTTATTGGGATGTAACTCCATCGTAAGTCAAGGAACAGCTGTACATATATGTACATACACAGTGCCTAAAAACTGGAGAAAACACATTTCTTTCAAGCACACAAAATATTTACAAAAAAGTGATCATTTACCTAACCATTAAGCAAATCTCAACTTATTTCAGTCTAAAATCAATGACAATCTTATAATTAAGCTAGAAATCAATTACTTTATAATGGCTTTAAAAATGGCAATAAAATCTCCATATGTTTCAAAAGTCAGAAATAATATTTTTACATTATTCATGAGTCAAAGAAAAAACCACAAGGGAAATTGGAAAACATTTTGAATTGTATAATAAAAATACTAAATGTGTCAGTTTTCCAGAGAACACTAATTTTTCATTTTCTATTAAGTCTCTGTGTTGGTATCTCCAGATTGGATGAAGTAGTCACTTTTCCCAGGCTTCACGAACTGTCCCTGTACAGGAAAAGATCCCCACCAATGAGCCCAATCAGAGGTTCTGGGGGCCTCTCAAACCTTCATGCTAGTCCAGCCTGCTTGATTTGTTCTTTTCAGCCCCCAGCCATGTAAGGTATGCCTCGCATCAGTACACTGGGACAAGTGATTCTGAAGCCAGTTCCATGGCTGATTCCCAGCAAAGTTGGACTGTTGGACACTTTGTCCAACTCTTTCTCTCCCCCAGGGAGAAGCTGAGAGCTAAAGATTTTTGTCTACTGCTCTGTGCTGAACTTAGGTTAGAGGGGCGTCTATGGTGACTGCTAGCTAAAAACTCCACCTCTGGACAGGTGCAGTGGCTCAAACCTGTAATCCCAGCACTTTGGGAGGCCAAGGGCAGGTGGATCACTTGAGGTCAGCAGTTTGAGAACACCCTGGCCAACATGGTAAAACTCTGTCTCTACTAATACAAAAATTAGCTGGGCGTTGTGGTGGGTGCCTATAGTCCTGGCTATTCAGGAGGCTGAGGCAAGAGAATTGCTTGAGCCCAGGAGGTGGAGGTTTCAGTGAGCTGAGACTGTGCCACTGCTCTCCAGCCTGGGTG